GTCCCTCGTCCCTCGTCCCTCGTCCCTGGTCCCTGGTCCCTCGTCCCTGGTCCCTGGTCCCTGGTCCCTGGTCCCTGGTCCCTCGTCCCTCGTCCCTCGTCCCTCGTCCCTCGTCCCTGGTCCCTCGTCCCTGGTCCCTCGTCCTTGGTCCCTGGTCCCTCGTCCTTGGTCCCTGGTCCCTGGTCCCTCGTCCCTGGTCCCTGGTCCCTCGTCCTTGGTCCCTCGTCCCTCGTCCCTCGTCCCTCGTCCCTGGTCCCTGGTCCCTCGTCCCTGGTCCCTCGTCCCTCGTCCCTCGTCCCTCGTCCCTCGTCCCTGGTCCCTCGTCCCTGGTTCCTCGTCCCTCGTCCCTCGTCCCTCGTCCCTCGTCCGTCGCCCCTGGTCCCTGGTCCCTCGTCCCTCGTCTCTCGTCCGTCCCTGGTCCTTCGTCCCTCGTCCCTCGTCCCTCGTCCCTGGTCCCTCGTCCCTCGTCCCTCGTCCCTGGTCCCTGGTCCCTCGTCCCTCGTCCCTCGTCCGTGGTCCCTCATTCCTCGTCCCTCGTCCTGGGTCCCTCGTCCTTCGTCCCTGGTTCCTCGTCCCTGGTCCCTGGTCCCTGGTCCCTCGTCCCTCGTCCCTCGTCCCTGGTCCCTCGTCCCTGGTCCCTCGTCCCTGGTCCCTGGTCCCTCGTCCCTCGTCCCTAGTCCCTCGTCCCTGGTCCTTCCTCCCTCCTCCCTCGTCCCTCGTCCCTCCTCCCTCGTCCCTCGTCCCTGGTCCCTGGTCCCTGGTCCCTCGTCCCTGTTCCCTGGTCCCTCGTCCCTCGTCCCTCGTCCCTCGTCCCTGGTCCCTCGCCCCCTAACCTCGCCACTCCCTTCCCCCATCTATCTCATACCGCCAAGGATCGATCGGGAGTGGTGCATGGGTGGGAGCGCAAGACCTCGTGGGCCATGATCGTGTGGGCCGCCATCATCTGTGTCACCAGCATTGGGTCGTCCATCTACATGCTGGTGGTGGGGATTGCCAGCCAGCCTGGTTCGCAGAACACCCAAGGGTAGAGAGGCAGAGGGAGGAGGTGGAGGTGGAGAGAAGAGCAGGTGGAGAAGGAGTGGGGGGAAGGGGAAGGGACAGAGAGAATTGCCATCATCTGTGTGACCAGCATTGGGTCGTCCATCTATATGCTGGTGGTGGGCATTGCCAGCCAGCCCGGCTCGCAGGACAATCAAGGGTAGACAGAGAAAATGGTTGGAGGAGGGGGAAGAGGGGGAGGGAGGAGCAGGTGAAGGAATGGGGAGGAGGGACATAGGAAATTGGCATCATCTGCGTGACGAGCATTGGGTCGTCCATCTACATGCTGGTGGTGGGTATTGCCAGCCAGCCTGGTTCACAGGACATGCAAGGGTAGAGAGGGAAGTGGGGGACCTGGAGTGGAAGAAGGAGAATGGGGGAGTGGACCAGCATTGCTTCGTCCATCTACATGCTGGTGGTGGGGATTGCTAGTCAGCCTGTCTCACAGGACACCCAAGGGTAGTGAGGGAGAGGGAGGAGGTGGAGGGGGGAGCAGGTTGAGTATGAATGGGGAAAGGGGGATCGTGTGGGCCGCCATCATCTGTGTGACGAGCATTGCTTCGTCCATCTACATGCTGGTGGTGGGAACGAAGCATGTAACCATCTTGAGAGCCTACCTACCAGGTCATTGGTTAGAATAAAGGGTGAGAGGAGGAGCAGGATGTCGCAGCGGTGCTTGTGGGGGGTTGGCACATATTGTCAAATGGGACAAGCTTTGAGGAGCCATAGAAAACAGAGTGGTTTTAGTTGGGTACTGCACGTACCAAATTTTAGAGTAGTGGGTACCTGTTAACCATGTGAGTAGCTGACTGTTGTATTGGGTAGGATGTTTTGCGTAGCTCCCTTGGCTTTTGTGGCCTTATATGGCCTCACATCATGGCCTCTCTTGGGTTCCCTTGGGGCCTGCCAAGAGAGGACTCAACTCAATTGCGACGATGACGTCATCCGCTCCACCACCTTCCGCCTCAATGCGTGATGCGCGCACCCCCGGTGCATGTGAGGCGCGGCCAGGGGAGGGGCGAGAAGGTGTGGGGAGGGTCAAGGAGGTGATGGGAGGCAAGACGAGGCATAATTGTTTTGCTTATGTGTCATGGGCTCTACATGTTGTGCTGTTGACCCTCGGGCATTGTCAACCGTGCACTCCTGCATCTGATGCATTTGTTATCATAATACGGCAATCGAATTGCTGGTTTTGCCTGGCCATCCTTGGAAACCTTGGCAGCAGAATAATCAGACCCTGCGCGAGTTTCGTTTAAAGACCCCACTTATTCTGTTTTCTTCTTTGAAGGAAGTTGCTGCCTCAGCTGATTGGTTTTCATTGTGGCATGGTTTGTGAATATAAGATATGACATCAACGTGAATGTTGTTTGCACAGGATGAATCGATGTCACGGGGGTCCGAAACTCGTTATAGGGATCGCGAATTGTTTGCCCAGATCCAACGGTTGTCACAACACAACTGACTGGCTCTCGAAAAAATCACGCGTTTGCTGGCTGGTGATGACTTCCAGGGGTTCTGTTGCCAGGAAGCACTCAAGGGTTCGCGCTCACCCGCCCATGCACTCACAACCACCACAGTTCATCGTCTCTTTCACCTCAACTGACATTATCCTCTTTCCTTCCTAGTTAGCTCGCCACATCCTACCTTCCCTACGTATTGGGAGTACCGATCGACCCACCTGCCTCTCCCCTCCACTGTGCCACCAAGCTCAGGTAGAATCCATGGCCAAATTCGCCGTCACCTTGAAATCAACACCAGCACCCGTCGGACTGGCCAACCCTTTATTAGGATTCCCGTCAAACCGTTGGCATGGTTTCTCGCGAGTAGCTCCACGAAATCCACCTACCAACGCGAACCAGCACGGTTTCCGGGGGTTATACGAATCGAGCTAGGCTGCTGTGACCGGTAGGTTGCTGTGTGGTGGCGCGAGCAACGGCGTTGGCGAGGAGGGTATGGCCGAAAATGTGAGGAAGCAGGAAATTCCGGATGTTAACACCGGCGATGCTGACGCCAAATTTGATAAGCAGTCAAATGTTCATAGTTTATCCTTTTTTTTTATAGGTTTCCGAATGATGATTAACTAGCACGAATTCTGTCCATGCAGGAACCTTACCAAACGCGGCGGGCCCTTCAACGGTTTCGGAGGACCCATTCAAGGAGTATTATGACAGCGAAATGAAAATCCTGTATCGGACATATCCGTAGTTAGGAAACAAGCCATCGGATGTAAGTGACGACCTTTTGACTTAATTTTGATAACCATGCATTATGTGTCACTCTACAAGATCGTTTGCCACCTGGTCTAAAGAGATTCTGCTTATGTTTATGTTGTGCAGTGGGTGAAGAAATGTGATTATCAGAGGGATTATATTCATCGTTTAAAGGCATGCATCCGCGCTGCTGCAGAATCCTACTCTCTAAAGTTGATTGCAGGTAAGCATCGCTTGAAATATTTAGTGTACAAGTTTTCTGCATCGTTCAGTTAAAATCTGTGTTACATATGTTGCAGAGGTGAATCTCGAAGAAGAGAGGGAACGGAGGCAAAGTCTACAAGCAAATGTATCGGTGAGTACAATTTGGCAAGGCGTCTTGATTTGTACTGCGTCCACGGTGGAATTGGAGGCGTCTGTGATGTTCCATGTGTCTCATGCCGCCCCGCTCTCCACTTCCATCACCAGGATCTGGAGGCAGAAGTTGCGCGGCTGAAGGAGGAGAAGGAGGAGCTGCGCGCCCACATGCACGCGGTGAATGCACAAATGCCGCTGCTGCTGCTGCCTTTGCTTAGCCTGCCATGCGCGTGAGCACGCACATCTGCTTGGTGCCCACGCACGTCCAAAAGGCACGTGCGTGTGTGTGTTTAAGCCACACTCTATGCCTCACCTCGTCCAGTATCTTTCTTGCCTTTCTGTCTGCCCTGCAGGCAACACAAGCTGAGCAGCAGCTCCGCATATTGGTGAAGAACTTTTTTAATCAATTCAACTCAATGGCGCCCGCACAAGTGAGTGATATGCGTTGCACTCCTTCAGTTTCGTTCCTTCCCTCCCACCTTCTCCTTCCCCGCCTCCGGGCCAATCTCCAATGAATTCCTCAGTTCAATAATCATATTTTATCCGTAGCTTCTGTTTCACACCTCTAACCCCCCCCCGACCTTGTCCCTCTCCCCTCACCTCCCATGCACTGGTCAGGGTCGTGGTGACAAGTGTCAGTAGATCTGCACTGTGGATGCCCGATTGATCATAGGAGGGGTTACAGGCGCGTTCGCCTGGGGGGTTATGGGTGCACAAACCCGCTACACAAAAAAAGCCCTTTTATCCCAATGGTCTAAGTGGTTGTGATTCTGACATGGTATCAGAGCGGTCTCGGGTTCGAATCCCGGTGTATGCACATGTAGGCCGATGCCGCTGTGCTCAGTCCAGGGCCTCCCAGTGTGGGGGGGTGTCAGTAGATCTGCACTGTGGATGCCCGATTGATCCTAGGAGGGGTTACAGGCGCGTTCGCCTGGGGGGTTATGGGCGCACAAACCCGCTACACAAAAAAAGCCCTTTTATCCCAATGGTCTAAGTGGTTGTGATTCTAACAACAAGGGCAGCAGCACACTCACTGCATGGTCTCGCTCGATATAGGAAGGGTGTAGTGTGCAGTTGAATGTATTCTGTACACTTTGGATTGGAAGCATTTCTTATGCGACCAAGTGATAGTGAAGTGAGTCAATGGAAACGCATAAGCCATGTAACCTTTTCTTTTCTGCAGCGTATAAGCCGTGTCTTCCAGAATGTGAAACGCTACACACCATACCGCACTGCACCGCACCAACCCACGCCCATTTGCTGATTCTATGGCATTGTTACTGCTGCTGCTGCATCCTCTCTAGCATCTCCAGGGCAGCAGGCGTGAGCACCTTCTGTCCACCCTACACTGGTTTCTATGGCACTGCTACAGTTGCTACACCTGCTACACTACACCTACTGCTGCTGCATCCTCTCTAGCATCTCCAGGGCAGCAGCCGGGACCACCTTCTGTCCGCCCTTCTCAGCCATGCCGCTCGAAGCCATGTCCTCTAGAATGTCAAACGCGGCACACCACGCGGCTTCAAAGTCCCCAAACCACTCCTCCCCAAACGCCCTCTGTAAAGCCTTCATGAAGCCGGTGCGGAAGATCTGTATGGTGGGGGGGAGATTGGAAGAGGGAGAGGGGTTGAACTTGAAGTAAAATCCTCTCAACTTGAACTTGATGCCTCCGTGGTTCAAAGAGGTGTCGGCCACCCAACGGCTCAGAGAGAGGTGTTGCCCTGTGTGTTGTGCTGCTACCCCCATCTCCTTCTCCCTCATCTCCCCACTTGTAACATTGACCCCTCAACTCCCCTCTTACCGGGAAGTCGTCCCCATCGATGCCGTAGTTGGGCTGCCTGCCTCCCAGCGCCTTGATTAAGGGCGCTTGTTTGTGTGCTCCTACCCTCCCCACACCCCCCTCCATACCACCCACACCCACTCACCGGGAAGTCGTCCCCATCAATGCCATAGTTGAGGTGCCTGCCGCCCAGCGCCTTGAAGAAGGGCGTCTGCTTGGCAATTCGCTCTGGATCGTCCCAGGAGCTGAAGGCCTCGCACATCTGAGAAAGATGGGGGCGAGGGAAGGGTGCATGCATGGGTATGTGTGGGCATGTGTGAATGATGCATCCATCCCATCCCATCCCATCCCATCCCATCCCATCCCATCCCATCCCATCCCATCCCATCCCATCCCATCCCATCCCATCCCATCCCATCTGATCTGCCCCACCCCGCCCCACCATCTCATTCCCACCATGGTGAATGCAAGTGTGGCGTGCGCCTCGAGGCGCGGGTTGACGGGCGCGGGCTCGGTCGACTCGCGCACCATGGAGAAGAGGGGCTTCGCCTCGGGGCAGATGTCGAATATGCTGACGTGGCGGGGGGAGGGGGAAGGGGGGAGGGGGGAGGGGATTGGAGCCTCGAGGCAGACGTGTTGAGGCAATGCGGCTCGCTCGAGTCGCGCACCATGGAGAAGAGGGGCTTCGCCTCGGGGCAGATGTCAAATATGCTGTGGGGGGAGGGTGGTGGGGGGAGGTCAAGCGAGTCAACGCGAGTCAACGCAAGTCAAAGCAAGTCGAGACGGCTGTTCAGGGGTTGACGGGTGCAGGCTCGCTCGAGTCGCACACCATGGAGAAGAGGGGCTTCGCCTCGGGGCAGATGTCGAATATGCTGACATGGTGGTTAGCCATTGGGCCAATGAAGGGGAAGGAAGGGCGGAGGAAGATGGTCAGGAGTTCATCCAGTTAGAACGAGACGGCCATTGTGAGACAACGCGAGTCAACGCAAGTCAACGCGAGTCAAAGTGAGTCAAAGTGAGTCAGGTCAATGTGATGTGATGCACTCACGTGAGGTACATGGTGAGCGCGTGATGCTGCCGGTCCTTCTCGATGCGCGCGTGAGAATCAATGCGAGTCAACGGGAGTCAACACAAGTCAAAGCGTTGCACTCACGTGAGGTACATGATGAGCGCGTGCTGCTTCCTGTCCTTCTCAATGCGCGCGTACGACTCGCGAATCAGCGCCGCTTGCTCCGGCAGCAGCACTTCTTGCCGCTTCGGTACGCCTCCGTAACTCGCGGCGTCTGTTGCGGAGCCAGTCGCGGGGGCGGTGCCGGTGGGAATGGGCGGTCCCGCGAAATCCTCGTCGCTTCCCACGTGGCCGAAGAGGATATTCGCGGGAATCTCGCTGCCCCCGCCGTACATCCTCGCGACGCGGCGATTGCGATTCCCCAAGAGATTAGGATGCTAAAAAAAAATCCTTCAAAAAAATATCTATACTAGACTTCACAGCATGAAAATTGCGAGACGCTGTTGATTTCGCGAAATGCTTTCGCTTTCGCCAGCTGGCTTACGAGCGCTGCTCGCCGCCCCGCAGCGCTCAAAAGTACTTGCAGCCCTGCCGCTGCTCTAGCTTGGACTCTGCAGCAGGCAGGCTGACCCCTTCCCTACTCGGGCGCCCTTCCGATTGTGTCACCGCTGTTGTCACGCCGCCACAATTTGCGCTTCGTATCTGAGCCCAATGCCGCTGTCTCGTATGTACAATGCTTGTGCCGTTTGTGAGGGCTTGTATTCTAGAAGGTGGGAACACTGAAGGCTGTGGAAAAAAGACCAACAGAGGGCGGGCGAGATGTAATAGGCCGCGTCTCGGCGGGGAGGATGACGGTAGACGAAAGCAGGTTCGCAGTTCAGGTTAGCGGACAATATGTTCAGGAACACCGCATCCGAAAGCACAACATCGTACCCAACCGCTTCCGGGGACAAAGCTCGTGACAGTGAACAGTGTTGACCGCTAACCACGATTCCGTCGTGCTGGAAGATTGAGGGATGAATGCGAACACGGTTACAGAGGTGACATGAATCGTCGAAGCTCGTAAATGTCCTAGATGCAAGGGCCCAGTCTATGGAGTGCGAGATTGAGGGCGAGGTGTTTGAGTTGGTCGAAATTCGCGACAGATTCGCGCGAGGTCGACGTGGAACGGTCGCTTGCTAGGCTGTACATCGGCCGCGCCTGCCTACTATTCGCTATAATTTCCAGCATCGTGCCAGCATATGCCACGTCCTCGCGCTTTCGCGCAAAATCAGAGTCAAAAGGGAAGTAACACAAGTGTAATTATCAATCTTGTAATACACCAGCCTAGGAAAAAGATTAAAAGAAATCAGGTAGCAAAGCAGTTCAGCAAGAATAAGGTCAATCCTGTAAAGAGCAAGAAAGGAGTACTAACTATGCCTGGCCCCTGCAGATGAAGTACTCTGGTTGGCATCTGCTTCAGAAAGCCATTAGCGCTGTTGCTGCTGCTGTTGTTGCCTCCACTGCTGCTGTTGCTGCTGCATTTGCTGTTGGTGCAGCTGCTGATGATGCATTTGTTGCTGGTGCATTAACTGTTGCTGCTGCTGCTGCTGTTGCTGCTGCTGCTGAAACTGCTGCTGCTGCTGCTGCTGCTGTTGCTGCTGCTGTTGCTGCTGTTGCTGAAACTGCTGCTGCTGCTGATACTGCTGTTGATGTTGTTGCATGTAGGGAGAATTGATCGGAGGCGGTTGAACACCAGGCCCAACCACCTCTCGTCGCCCCACTCCAAGCACACCCCCCCCACCACCCCCACCCCCTCCCACTCCACCACTCCCAGCAGCACTACCACCACCTGCACCAGCTTGTACTCCAGTCATTTCCTTCACAGCTACTCCCATCCCTCCCCCGTTTACCCCCACACCTCCCACCACATACGGCATCCCCCCACCCCCAACCGGGCCTCCAATTTGCCCCATGCCAAATCCCGGCCCTGCAACCGAACCTGCTGGCCTTACCACATTCCCTCCTCCATAACCATACCCCATATTTCCCGGCACAACCATACCTCGGTTCACAACCATGCCTGGGTTTGGGCCTGGCACCATGCCTGGCGAAAAGGCTGGGCCCAAACCTGTTCCCTGACCTGGTCTCACCGAACCACTAACATTAGGAACGGAAATTGCTCCTGGACCCATGATGCCATCCCTCTGTAGGTTTGGTGGAAAGCCAGGGCCTACCCCCCTTCCTGCTCCAGTTCCCGCTGCTGTTGCTGCCGAACCAGTCATTCCCATGCCTACCCCTCCAGGAGAACCTACCGAACCTGGCATCGAACTGGGATGTTGGACCAGTCCGTATGGAACCGGACCAGGGGCAGATCCGGGAACAGCTCCTGGAAGAGGCCCGGGAACAGGTCCGGGCATTGGCATGACTCCCCGGCCATGCATGGCCATCATTCCCACAGCAGCATGTGCTCTCCACACGTTCAGCGGATGAGGAGGGCCAAGCGTAGGTATTTGCTGGAAATGCACGGGTAAACCACCCGGGGACATACTGCCCGGGGGTAGATTGCCCGGGGGGAAACTGCCCGGTGGAAACCCCGCCCCTGGAAACCCTGGCTGGATCAACCCTGCCGAACCAGCGCCCACCGAGCCTGGAGATTGCCCCGGGCCGTGGACGGACACGTTTGGTGCCGGACCAGGCGCCGGACCTCCAGGCCTGGCAGGTCCCGCCCCACCCGGGCCTCCACGCCCGGTTCGGTTGCCAGCAGCAGCATTATTCGCGGGCGCAGAGGGCGAGAGCGAGGGGAATTCGGAGGCATAGGTAACGACAGGGGCGTATATTGGCTGCATGCCGTACGGATTAGGCGCCTGGGCACCAAAGCCAGGGTCGAACCTCTGTGAGAACCGATCATAACCGCGCTGGTAGTCGGGGTCCTGCTTCTCCTTCTCCCTGTCTCGCAGAATAGCAACATTCCTCCCTTTCCGCCCGCCTGACGAGCTCTTGGTTAGCCCTTGCTTATCCGCGCCAACCTTTTCCTCCCCGCCACTTCCCCCGCCACTACCCTTCCCCTTCCCACTTCCCTTCCCCCCTGCCTCCGCGCCTGCCTTCGCCCCTGACTTTCCGCCTGCCTCCGCACCTGCCTTCCCCACTGCCTTCCCCTCCTTCTCCTGCTTCCCACCCGCTTCGCCCTTTCCGCCTGCCCCTTCCGCGCTACTCGCGCTTTCCTCGCTGTCCACAGCATCCACTTGGGCAGTATTAAAAATTCTTGCTCGTGCCCGGTTATACATCTCCTTCCGCTCCTCCACGGATCGGATCACCCCCGCGCCATCCGCCCCGTCCGCGGAACTTCCGCCCATTCCCCCTTCTCCTCCATCCCCCGCGGACCCTCCTCTTCCCCCGCTCGGCCTCCGCCTTATTGCCAGCTTAAACCCCCCGGGGCCTGGCGCAGCTTCCGCGCCTGCCCCGCCGCCATTCACGGCGCTGGCGCTGGCGGTGCCGCCGCTACCGCTGCCGTTGGTCGGGCCGAGAGGGAGGTCGACGAGGCGGACGGGCGGCGGGCGAAGCTCGCCAATCTTTCGCGCGACGACGACATTGCATTCGCCACCGCTTGGCGTGACGGCATCTGCGGCGGACGTCTGTAGCGAGTAATGCTGCGCGACGCGGTGCGCGGCGGCACGGTGATACGACGACGCCATTGGTTGAAACTCCATGACCTTGAGGTTCGGGTTGCGGATAAACCGCTCCACGTCCTGCTCCATGCGAAGAACTGGCGCGCGGGGGAGTTGGGGGGGTTGGGGGAGAGGGGGGAGAGGGGAAGGGGAAGGGAGAAGGGGAAAAGACGGGAGGGGGAGAATGAAAGTCGTTGTCCACGGAGGAAAAGGAAAAATGACCTCTAGGCGCTTTAAAAATACCTTGGCGCTGGGGTTGCGGATGGATCGCTTCACGTCCACTTTGAGAGTTCATGCGGGTTCATGCAGAGCACCGGTATCCGACGAAAGCATGAATGATAAAAAAGCGAACAAACATTTGATAAGAAAAAAAAGTGCAGACACATATATCTAGAAGGCAATCAGGCTCCGATAAAGAAGTGCCAAATGTCACGGCGAACGTACTCGTGAGTCGGTCGCGAGGGTTCGCGAGAGCCTCCCTGAGAAAACTATCGACGAGCTCCAAGCGCTTGTCGATCACTTGCGGCTGCTGCTGCTGCTGCTGCTCGTCGCCGGTCGCATTAGAGCTGTCATTGGAGCTGTTATTCTCGCCAGTAGCGCCGTTCGTTACAATCACGGGTTTGACTATCTGCAGTTGCTTCAACCGCTCGTCCAGATCATCCGACTCCCACGAGTCCGGAGCTGATTGCTCTTGACCGTTCAATACCGTAGCGGATATCGATGCTGTTGGTAACGAGGATGGCGGTGCAGATGAAGATGGCAATGGGGAAGCTGCTGCGGTGGAAAGTGAAGGTGAGGAGGACGAGGATGATGCTGATGGTAATGATGCTGGAGACGCAGATCCAGCCGCTGCTGCCGTCGCCATGACTGTTTGGAGTATAATTCGTGTCACGCTCTTTTATTGAAACGTACGAAGTAGAAACGGTTGCGATACGCTCTTGATTCGGTCCCCCTTGTAAACCACTGGAACGCCTCAGAATTGGACCGAACTTGAACCGATCTGCTGCCACGAGATTACCAGTCAGGCGACCTTAAAAAACAGACCGAAAAGCCTTGAGACCACGCCACGAACAATATTCAGCTTAAGAAAAATCCCTGAAACTGGCAAACCTCACGGCGAACCCTCCATCCCTGAGGCAGAAGCCTGATTCTTTCCTGCTCCTGCTCCGCATAGCTTCTTAACCTTTCCTCCATAAATCGCATTCGTGACACTCCAGGACATAGAATTTGCATCAGCAAGGATTTACGGCCCTTCAAGAAAGCTAAGGGCCGTCCGATTTGACAGCTTGATCAATGAATGAACCTCCAGCGAACATAGATCAAGGAGACTCTTCTACATAATGAAAACTCCCGAAACAAGCATGGAGGAGATAGTAAAAGCTCCAGAGATATTATTTATCGACAGGTTAGCAACGGTTCGGTTCGGTGAGGCACGAGAATCGGTTTGTATCTTATAGCATCGTACTTCACCGTACACTGAAGTGACAACCCCCCAGAGCCTTTGCGGTTTACGCCTGCTTCCCGAGGGACCGCTTCGGGGGAGTGGAGTTCTCTAGGGCTGGCGGAACGGAAGGGGGTCTGCGCAATCAGAGACTCTGGTGGCGGGAGCGGAGCTTCCGAGGTTCTGAAAGAAACGCGTGTACTCGCTTTTGATTATGCACGAAATTTTATTCTACATACCTAACTGCACAAACAGCTTTGTTATGGTCACAGTGACAGCCTGACTAATTCCTTCACCATCGCTCGCTGCTGCACAGCAGAAAGGAACTCGGAGTTTTGAGCTGCATTTGCAACAAGAATGGTGTTCTTTATTGTGTCCCCCTTCACCTGAAAGCACACCAGCACAGCACAACAGAACAGAAGAAATTAGAACAAACTACTGTCATCCATACTCGACTCCACAGAAAAAAAAAACTGCAAGAACAATGACAGTGCCAAAGGCCATGCAACTCACCCATACTCTTCCGTTCAGGCCCACAGCAATTTCAAAGGCCAAGCCAGCAGCGTCAAGTGCCTTCAATACAGGGGCTGTTGGTGTTGCCAGGAGGCTGAGAGAAAAAACCAACACAAAACACAAATGGGAACAATTGGAAACAACTGGAATATGATGCATGGATGCATGGAGAGAAGTGTGCTTGGTTCAAATGGCTTGAACACAGGGAGGCTTGGACGCATGGACGCATGGGTGCATAAATGCATAAATGCATGGATGACATGGGCGCTTGGTTGGCATGGTTGGCATGGATGGCATCGATGCATGGATGCATGAATGGCAGGAAGGGCTCACAGGCGAGCGAGGGCAGTGGAGCAGTCAAAGAGGTGACCACCCACTAGCGGCCCGAACTCCGCTGCCTTACCGCTTGCTGAGAGATGGATGGGCGGGAGAGTGACAAACGGGAAGAGGTAGGGGTGGGGAGAAAAGCGGGAGGGATGAAAAGAGGATGAATGGGAGGACAGGGTTGAAGTAGCAGAGAAGGGAGGCCACTTGAGGACCTCACACCTCCCACCACTCATCATTCACCATCCACAAATTAACGCTCAGAGTCCCGCCTACCACCACCATTCACCAAGACTCAGCATCCACACATGAGAGCTCAGGGTCAGCATCCCTACTATGGGTCTTGACCACAAGGGTGTCCCACTCACCCACCCACTCCATCCCCTCACGACCACCAACCATCAATGCATGAACGCTCAGCTTCCCACTACCCTCCACCCACTCACTCACCATCGACACACGACAGCTCAGGGTCGGCATCCCTGTGGGTCTTGACCACTCTCGTGTACACTGCCTGGCCGATCTGCATGCACACACATGCACACATGCACATTGCACACACATGCACACATGCACATTGCACACACATGCACACATGCACATTGCACACACATGCACACATGCACACACATGCACACATGCACATTGCACACACATGCACACACATGCCAGGGCAAACACACATATGTGAAGACACGCAGACATACACGCACACGCACCGTTGTTCCAACATAATTCCAGTATCTCAAGGACACGAAAGTGACAACCACAGCTTGCACGAACAGCAAGGAACAGATAACCAATTCCGAGCACCCCAGGCCCCTAATAATTGGATATGTATCAGCAGGCAAGTTCGGACCGAACCTGGAGGTTTGGTGAAACCGTACATGCAGGTTGGGTCGGTTTCGTCTGGTGGCGCCTTCAAAGGCGAGTGCAGGCAGGATGGCGAGGCCTGGGCCCTTGATGTCCACGTCTAGGTTCTGGTGGAAGGCGGGGTGTGGGGTAGAATGCATAGGGGACGGCAGGGGGCAGGATGGTGAGGCCCACGCCCATAATGTCCACGTCTAGATTCTGGAGGGGCGAGCAGCAGGCGGCATGGGGGATGGGGGGGGGCGAACCGAACAGACAAAGGAGAAATGGCGCGGGGAGAAATGGGCCAGGGCCTTTGATGTCCATGTCTAGGTTCTGGGGATAAAAGGGGGAGAGGAGGGCATGGGGGAGAGCCGGCGATGATTGCCTCCTCCACTGCATTCGTGTACAGATGGGTGTGATGTGATGTGCGGTGTATAACGTGCAATGTGTGACCTGCAGTTGCATGTACGATGAAAGGGAAGCGGTGAAAGGAGCGAGAGTGTACCTCCATGTGCTTATCGATCACAATGCCGATCACCGCCTCCTCCACTGCAGGTGTGTACTGATGGTGAAAACAGGCAGTGGGTAGGTGGGTATGATGGTGACATGGGTTGGGGAAAGCAAAGGGGTGAAGGAGGGGAAGGGGGGAGGGAAAGGGGGGATGAACAAGAGGCTTGACATGCAGAGAAGGAGGCAGATCAGAACGGCGTGTGGAAGAAACGACAGGAATGAATGAGACTCTGCTCCGTCACGCACATTCCTACACACAGTCACTCACGCGCTTCACACTGCAGACCGCCCACAGCTTCCTCTTCCCTGCGGGCTTAACCGCAATCACACACTCATGCCACGCAACTCAATCGACTCGTTACATTCTCTCATTCAGAAGGACCCACCCACATCCCCCACCCTCCCACTCACGCGCTTCACACTGCAGTCCACCCACAGCTTCCTCTTCCCTGCGGGCTTCAGTCGCCCCGCTCGCATGGCCACCACCATGTCGCCCTCCTGCCTCCCGGGCAAGGACATGGGTATCATGTAAGGGCGGGGAGGGCGGGTGGGAGGGTGGGCGCGTGAATGGGTGCGTGAGAGAATAGGTGGGTGGCACGGGGGAAGGTGCGGGCTTCAGCCGCCCCGCCCGCATGGCCACCCCCATGTCACCCTCCTGCTTGCCGGGGCAAGGACACGGAGATGGGTATCATGCAGGAGGTGCGTGGGTGGGTAGATGAGTGGGTAGGCGAGTGGCTGGGAGGGGGACGCAGGTTTCAGTCGCCCCGCTCGCATGGCCACGACCATGCCGCCCTCCTGCTTCACAGGCAAGGACACGAAGATGGGTGCTATGTAGAGGAGGGAGGGTGGGAGGGTGGGTGAGAGGGTGCGTGGGGGACGTGGCTGGGAGGGTGGGAGGGGAGCACGTGGCTGGGAGGGGAGCACGTGGGTGGGGAGAGCGAGTTGGCGCTCAAGTACTGCGAAGAGAAGAGCAACAAGCAGCGGGGAAGCGGGACCTGCGTAAGACTATGCTTCAAAGCGTGACTCCATTTCTTCCTACGCGCTTTATGCAGCAATGGGATCAGCGCACCTGTCGGAGGCCGGGTCCGATTCTGAGCACGGCCGACGTGACCTGCGTCCGATCCACCGCTACGTCCCCCCCAGGTACCTGCCTGAGTCCTAGTCTGATTCAACCGTTGGGGTCCTGCGAAACGGCCTTGCTGTTCTGAGCCTGTATAAGAGTGGCCTCACAAGGAGGGCAGAGCGCACCTGTCGGAGACCCGGGCCGATTCTGAGCACGGACGACGTGACCTGCTTCAGATCCACCGCTACGTCTCCAGGCACCTGCGAGAGCGCGCAGGACACAGGATACGGCCGTAACCCTAATTCAGAGACCATGACGAAATGCAGAATGTTAGGCACGGAAGAGTCCTGAATGAGATTAATGAGAGCAAACACTAACCCAGTAAACGCACCATGAACTGGCCTACAAACGGGGATAATGTGCCAGCCTTTGCGTCGTGCTGTCCATCTGCGGAGCCGCCTACGTCAGCGTCGTCGTGCATCGCTCTCTCGCGATCGTCTACGAAACGGGATTCACGTGAAGAAACGAGGAGCACTTGCGCGGTGCTCGCACTTGCTCGTTACGCAAGCGACACCAGTCCCGTGGTTTGCGCTGAATGGTCGTAGCTCTCCTCGCACAAGCCTGCTATGCCAAGCCACTGCTGTGAGAACGAGGGTTCTATGCTAGGGACCACGCGACACGAGTGTGAGCGAACGAATGAGATGTAGGCTGCAATTTTTGTGCCCGCTTGGGAATAGCGAGTGTGAGTGAATGAAAGCAGGAGAAAACCAACGTTGGACAAGATTATATAATCGACCTGGTGCATGTGTGTCATAGACGAGAGAGTGTATAGCGAGTACATGGCCTGGTTCGGGAGCGTGTCCCACCTGGCTGATTTTCGGATCATTTACAACAATTTAGACTGATTCTTAGCGATTCAGAACGGTACTTTGCAACCATCGCTGTAGGTAGTTTGCTTCTTGGAATCCTTCATTATGTGAATTATGTATTTCCTGCAACAACATTCCTCGGTATTCGTTGTTCGTAGAGTGCACCTGCAAAACTCTCGTCTTTTAAGACACGACATAAGGCTTTTGTTATGCGCTCAATGAATGTACCTTTAGGCATAGTTTTGAAACTAGGCTAACCTTTTTTTTGTACTATAACGATGACCTGACATGACAAACTCTGCAGATTTGGGATTAGGAAGTTAGGGTGGTATGTAAGATAATAAATAAATGCTGTTACGTAAAACTTTTACAGACCTAACCTCGGGTGTATGTCGAAATCGATATCTACGTCAAAGCAGGATCCTCACATTTTGGCGGTGCGTGCGGGTCGTCAGATGCCCACTGACACACTTTCAAACTGCTGCGCATTGCTTCGGTCCCAAACCTACAAATGCTATCGCCATTCTCTTGCCATCACCCTCAGCGATCAGTGCACGAAAATTCCCATCGGAGTGCAACTATGAGTGCCTCGCAAAGACCAGCCCGTTTGCCTCTTGATAAGTTGACTTCTATACGGCATAGTTTTTTTTTTAGAAGGTTAGATCTGAATTCATCCAGCAGGACTGACCGTATCAAGGATGATGACCCGCAGGATGAGGAGTACAAGCTGGGGAATGAACTGGGGAAAAAAGAGAAAGCTCGATTTTTCCAGCGAGGTAGCAAATCATTTCTTTGTCAAAGTTTTCTTGAGTGCGTCTAACACACACATTTTCTTAAACTGTTCTTGCAGGACGTTGATCAGACGGCGTAAGGACTTCTTGCCTTACGCACTGACCGTGATGAAAAGGCTAACGAAAATGCCATGCTTCGTGCTCGCATTATGGAGCTCGAAAATTCCTTGGGTACCTCGGAGGCTTCTCTGCAGGATTCCGAAGAGGTACGTGTGGTGTGGGACGTTTTTTACATTCTAAGCTCTTCGACATCTCTCTAACTCATGCCTTAATTGCTTTGCAGGTTAAGTCAAAGCTTGTGGAAACTGAGAGGCTTCTCCAGGTCAGAACTGAGGAGGTGGCCAAAATGTCGGCAGCCAACGAGCAGATGGAGGATCAGGTATCTGACAGAGCACCTTTCTACAGCCTTCGTTCTGGGTTAAAACACGCGCATTAACTACCACGTCTGTGCTCACGACTCTCAGATTGACAAGCTCCAGAAGTCTCTTAAGGAACGCGAAAAGGCTGTCGACACTCAACTCGTACGTTCGCTTCATTTTTTTAGTAGATCACTGTCAGAACATTATATAGCTTATGCTGTTGTGTAGGCTATAGTGGGGTATCCCATAGGGGGTACAACCCAATTAGGGTTTCCTATTTGTACTCACTTCATTTCATAGTTCACCCATTCTCGTTCTCATTTTTACATGGAATCAGAGCAGGTCCCCTCCTAGGGACTGTTCCTTGGGCCCACCGAAACGCGCCTCGAGTCGCGCCTGCCTTTTTTTTCTTTTTAGCGGCCCGTCGAGTCGCACCTAGCGGCCCGTCGCGCCGCCCTTACGGTCGCGTCGAGCCGCCCTAGCGGCTGCGGCGCGCCGCCCTTTTCCCGGCCCGTCGCCGCCCTTACCCGCGGCTTTGCGCCGCCCTCACCGGCGGCTTCGCGCCGCCCCTACCTGCGGCTTCGCGCAGCCCAGGCCCGTCGCCGCCCTTCCCGCGGCTTCGCGCCGCCCCGGCCTGTCGCCGCCCTTACCTGCGGCTTCGCGCCGCCTACGGCCCGTCGCCGCCCTTTTCTGCGGCCCCGCCGCCTCTCTCGTTACGGCCCCGCCGCCCGTCTTCGCGGCCCCGCCGCCATCTCTCGCTGCGGCCCCGCCGCCACTCACTGCGGCCCCGCCGCCCGTCTTCGCGGCCCCGCCCCTCTGCTCACGCGGCCCCGCCGCCCACTGCTAAGCGGCCCCGCCGCCCCACTACAGCGGCCCCGCCGCCCTCACGTCGCGGCCCGCCCGCCACCCTACCTGCGGCCCGCCCGCCGCCCTACCTGCGGCCCGCCCGCCGCCCTACCTGCGGCCCGCCCGCCGCCCTACCTGCGGCCCTACCGCCGCCCTACCTGCGGGAGCCGCCTAGCAGCAGAACCGCCGGGAGCCGAGCCGCCCTGCCGCCGAGCCGCCCGGGAGCCGAGCCGCCCTGCCGCCGAGCCGCCCGGGAGCCGAGCCGCCCTGCCGCCGAGCCGCCCGGGAGCCGAGCCGCACTGCCGCTGAGCCGCCCACCAGCCGAGCCGCCCAGCAGCCGAGCCGCCCTGCCGCCGAGCCGCTGAGCAGCCGAGCCGCCCTACTGCCGACCCGCCCGACCTGCCCTGTCCGGTGAGCACAGCCCCACTGTCACTGCGTGCCCTTCCCCTACTGCTTGCACTGCTCGTCTGTCGTCGTCATGGCTACCCCTAGTGTCCTCGCTTTTGACGCTGAGGGTCGAGCCATTGACTTTGAGGTCTGGGTCGACGACCTGCAGCTGTTCTTACAGTGCGATAGGGCGGACGGTCTTTCCCTCTTTGACCTCACCTCTGGCGCCTCTCCTGCCCCTGCTACTGATGCTGACCCCACTGTTCGCTCTCAGTGGGCCACCCGCGATGCTGCTGCACGTCTTGCTGTGCGTCGCCACCTGCCTACCACTGAGCGCGCGCACTTTAGTCAGTACAAGAGTGCTCAGACCTTGTACGACGCTGTAGTTGCGCGCTACTCTTCCCCTGCCACTGCTGCCCTGAGCCGCCTCATGCTACCGTACCTCTTTCCTGACCTTACTGCCTTTCCCACTGTCGCTGACCTCATTACGCACCTCCGCACTAGTGACACTCGCTACCGCGCCGCCCTTCCTGCTGAGTTCTGCGCCAAGAACCCCCCCCCCATGTACATCACTCTCTATTACATAGTCACACGCCTCCCTGACTCCCTTCGCGTAGTCAGGGACCACTACCTCTCGGTCTGTCCCACCACTCTCACTGTCGACCTCCTCGAGAAGTCCCTCCTGGCGGCGGAGAAGAGCATCGTCGCTGTAGGAGCCTCTCGTGGTGACCCTCGCACCCCCATCTTTGAGGGGTGTTCTCCTTCCCCCCTGCTGCCCTCTGTTGCCTCTGCTGCTGCTGCCGACCTGCTTGGTCTTGAGTCGGTCTGCGCGGCGTCTGCCCCTAGCGGGAGACGCCGCCCTGGCAGGGGCAAGGGGGGCAAGGGCTCGGGTGGAGCTGGCGGGGGCGGTGGAGGAGGCGGTGGAGGCGGAGGAGGGAGTGGGGGTGGCGGTGGGAGTGGTGGCGGGGGCGGTGGTGGCGGTGGCAGCAGCGGAGGAGGAGGCGGTGGTGGCGGCAGCGGTGGGAGCGGAGGCAGCGGTGGTGGTGGAGGTGGAGGCAGCGGTGGCGGAGGGGGTGGAGCTGGTCGGGGTGGTGCCCCGCAGCGTAGCGGCCCTGGTGGTGGCCAGCGTCAGCAGCAGCAGCAGCAGCAGCAGCAGCAGCAGCAGCAGCAGCGTTCGCGGGACATCCCCCCGCCCCAGCAGCTCCGTGAGTGGTACACGCAGCGTCAGCGGGGTGGGGGTTTTGGTCCGTGCACCTACGTCCTTCGTTCCGGTGACCGAGCGGGTGAGCAGTGTGGGGGTGCGCACCCCACTCAGCGCTGCTTTGGCCGCCTGACGGACGCTTGGCGTCAGCAGTTCCCCGAGGCCAGTGAGATTCCCCGTTGGGGAGAGCTGTCTAGGGCTGGCGTAGCTGTCTTTGATCTTGACTTTGATGCTATCCTTGCTGCCATGTATGCTGTGACTATTAGTGAGGAGGGTGACTGTTACCAGTGTTTCCCGCCCGACCCGGGCATTGGTACTGCTGCGCCAGGTACTTCTGCGGCTGCTGCTCTAGGTGCCAGTGCGTCTGCACTCTCAGGTACTGGTGAGGCTGCGCTCTCAGGTACTGCGTCGGCTTCGGCCTCCCTCACCTTCACACTTGACTCAGGGGCTTCTCGCTCCTTCTTTCGAGACCGCACCACACTCACGCCGCTTGGCCGGCCGGTTGCAGTCTCCCTGGCTGACCCCTATGGGGGTCCTGTCCTCTCTCACTTCTCCACTGTCCTCCCGTGTCCGGCTGCCCCCTCGGGCACCTTGTCTGGTCTGTACCTCCCCTCGTTCTCGACGAACTTGGTGAGTGGTGCTGACCTGCAGGATGCGGGGGTTCACCAGTTTACTCCTGCGAGTCAGCGGGTGACCCACTGCTCGGATGCCCGCACAGGCCGACACCTGGCCACGTTCTCGCGTCGGCCAGGGTCGAGTCTCTACACACTGACCACTGCGTCTCCTCCTGTCCCTGCGTCTGGCCAG